GGGGGGGGGTTATTAACATGTTCTTATGCACAGTAGAATTTTAAATTGGCTGATTTATCAATGTCATGCTCATACTGTGCCGGAACAACATAGGGGAAACTGCTGCTTTTTTTCTCCTAAGCCTTACTATCGTCATTTTCCCTTACTTCTTTTGTATGTTTGTCACTCTCTTGTTAACTGCTATTTCCGGCTTGCCTTGATAGGCGAAGCAGACTTTTTGCTGTTGAGGCCAGAGAGGTGAGCACAGTAAGCCTGATTCCCTGTAAGGACTTCTCTGTTGACATCCACCCTTTTGCCCTCATATGACCTTATCTGTCATCGTAGTTTTCCGCGGGCGCTGTAACTGCGGCACGATTGCGGAAAAATGGGTCAATGGTTGTGCGGAACTTCACACCTTTTGCTAGTATTTTCTGTCATCAGCTTGTGTTTCTAGTAAAAAATACTGACTGTATGCTGCTAATTGTTGGGGGCATGTGTCTCTAGTGCTACTTCTCAGCTTATGATTAATTGGTACTTACATTTTTAAAGCAGTATGGAAAAAGAAGTTTAGACATGGTCGCAGTCCTTGCAAAATACTTGCAAAATTTGGTCTTTTTGGGGGTAAAATTTCTATGCAGAATTTTGAAATTTTCCAGGCAGAAAACTACGATGACAGCCTTAGGCAGTTGGAAGCGCTGTAAAGCCTTACTAAAACTAAACCTCGTTATACTGCCACCTTCGGAACGAGCACGGGGTGGCTGTTTTACGAGGTTCCTCTGTTAATTTTCCATAAATTAATGCTTTTTCAGTTGCCTTTTATTTGGTGAAAAAATTACCCTTCTGTCTTGAATAGAAGTCGAGGTGGTTGCGATTGAAGGAAGTGGGGGATATTCTGGTTTCTTACGTAAAGTTACAGAGAAAATGGCCGCCAAAGTTTGATGACTTCTCCAAAGCTGTAGTGTCCTGGGAAACTGCAAATTTACGTTTTATGTGTCTTTAATCAACGTTTTTCGGTAAAAATACACACAAAAATGTGCATTTAAATGGAAATATGAAGTGGTAAGACAAAAAAAAGAAAATGTGAAGAAAAAAAAACCCATTGCCGAACATGCAGGAAAATACCTCTTACTTCTTTTATTTTTATCATTTCGCCGAGCGCATGATTTCTCCACCACGTGGGTGGTTGACGGGTGCTCTTGTGTGGTTTGCTCCTTCTTACCTATCAAACGTCTATCGCCCTTATCTCCCCTCCTTCTATATTTGTGTTTGTTACTCTTTTGTAGCACCTCTAATCTTCGGCGTTATTATGACCTTTTTATCATGTTGCAAGTGCCGTAAAACTCTTACTAAAAAAAAAAATATTTCACCACGATGCATCACGTTTTTCCCTTCCTCAGAGAGTTCTGACTACGACAACTGCAATCAGGTCATCACATTGACTGGGGGAAACACTCCGTACACCATTGAGGGAAGGTTCCTCCCCCAACATTACACCGGGTGAGTAAGGAAAAAATACAACTTGTCATTTGATTGTAAAAGATAAATAGTAATAAATTACATTTTTATCGATCCCAGAAGGACAATTTGGTTTACAGTGGCAAACATACATACATACATACATACATACGTACATACATACATACATACGTACATACATACATACATACATACACACACACACACACACACACACACACACACACACACACACACACACACACACACACACACACACACACACACACAGTCACACACATACATACAAACACATATATACATACATAAATTCACAAATGTACCAATACAGACCAATTTCACAGCCATACCATTGCTTGTCCCAGCTCTAAATGACTATTAGTGTGTTGATGTGCTTCTCGTTACTCAAACAAACAAACAGATAAACAAACAAACCGCTGGTAGGTCCTACATTTTTACTTTCCCTCTGTTATTTCTGTCTGTCTGTCTGTCTTGCTTTTTCCCAAAACTAATTGGTCATTATTGTGTCGATGTGCTTCTCTTATTCAAACAGTGGGTGGTTTGCAGGTGCTGTGGTGTGGTTTTCTCCTTCTTTCCTATCAAATATCTATCGTCCTGATCTCTTCTCCTTTTTTTGTGTGTTTGTTATTCCCTTGTAACACCTCTAATCTTCGGCAATTATATGACCTTATTGTGTTGCAAGTGCCGTAAAACACTTGCTAAAACTCTGTCTTACTTTTTCCCAACACTAAATGACCATTATTGTGCAGATGTGCTTCACCCTCCGGGGCGGTGCCGCTGACTGAAGTGTCTTTAGGCCATTCCCAAAGGGGGGGGGGGGGACATTTGTTGGTCTAATGCACGGTAGAATTGTAAATGGGCTGATCCAACAATGTCATGCTCATAACCGTGCCTGAACTACAACAGGGAACTGCTGCTTTTTCTTACCTAATCTTTACTATCATCATTTTTGTGTACGTCTTTTGTATGTTTGTCACACTCTTGTGACCCGCTATTTCCGGGGTGCCTCGATAGTCGAAGCAGACTTTGTGCAGTTGAAGCTAGAGAGGTGAGCAGAGTAAGTCTGATTCCCTGTAAGGACTTCTCTGTTGACACTCACCCCTTGGCGCTCATATGACCTTATGCAGTTGCGAGCGCCGGTAAAACCTCTACTAAAACTAAAAAACTATGTTACAAACGAACCAACCAACAAACAAACGTGTAAGATCAAGCAGCGGCAGATATGTACCTCCAAAAACAAAGATAGAAAGATATAAAAGAAGTTTTTTACCATCTAGCATAAGGCTTTTGTCAGAATGAGCATAGATGTGTGTTGCTCTTAGAGTATGTATCTATAACTCCTTAGGTCTAGTATTTAAATTCCTGCATGTGGTTGAATGATGCATTGATGTAAATGTACATTTTGTCTGCTTTACTTCTCTTTTCATATTGGATTTTAATGAGAGTAATATATATAATTAAAAATTTTTATGTATACCTCCATGTGTTTTTACGGTCCTGTACAGCCAAGGAAAATTTCCCCCTGGGATAATAAAGCACTATCTTATCTTATCTTATCTATCTTATCTTATCTCTTTCTCCCCAGGCCCAGGTCGTGCTGGTGGAAGATCAAGTCTGCTGTCCACCACCAGGTGGTCACCATGATCGACGCGGAGGTCAACTTTCCCCCGGCCACTCCGGACACCTATTTTTGTTTCCGGAACAACATGCTGGACATTTCCTCAGGTATGGGACATTTCTTCAGGTATTTGATATTTCTGCAGATATGTGATATTATTGTTTCCGGAACACAGGTGTATGTGATGACATTTCTTCAGGTATTTGGTATTACTTCAGGTATGTGACATTTCTTCAGGTTTGTGACATTTTTTCAGGTTTGTGACATTTCTTCAGATATGTGACATTTCTTCGGGTATTTGACTTTTCTTCAGATATGTGACAATTCTTCAGGTATGTGATATTTCTTCAGATATGTGACAATTCTTCAGTTATTTGATATTACTTCAGGTGTGTAACTTTTCCTCGTGTATGTGATAGGTGTCACGGCGCGGTGGAATCAGGCGCTCGTCAATTTTGGGCATGTTGAGATTTTGGTATCGTCCTAAAATTTGTTCTGTTGTCTTGCTCTGGAGGAAAAATGTATCCACTATTATATCTTAGATAGGAGTCGAGATATTTGTGATTATAGAAAGAAGGGGATTGCTTGTTTTCGATGTAAACTGCTGTTTCCTGGGTGCCTTGATAGTCGAAGCAGAATTTGTGTTGTTGAGGCTAGAGTGGTAAGCCTGATTCCCCGTTTGGGCTTCTCTGTTGACATCCACCCCTTGGCGCTCATATGACCTTATGCTGTTGCGAACACCGTAAAATCTTTCTACAATTAAACTTAAAACCTGTACCATTTCACCGTTTTACCACTGGGGAGCTCCCACATCTTATATAACCTAATTGTGTTGTTTGGGGTGTTAAACCTGTACCACTGACTGAAGTGTCTTAAGGCCATTCCCAAAGGGGGGACATTTCTCGTTCAAGCATAGTAGAAATGTAAATGGGCTGACTCATGTCACGCTCATAACTGTGCCTGATCTACAACAGGGAACTTCTGCTTTTTCTTTCCTAATCCTTACTATTGTCATTTTCCTCTACTTCTTTTGTATGTTTGTCACTCTCTTGTGACCTTCTATTTCCGAGGTGCCTTGATAGTCGAAGCAGACTTTGTGCTGCTGAAGTTAGAGAGGTGAGCAGAGTAAGTTTGATTCCCTGTAAACACTTCTCTGTTGACACCCTTGGCGCTCATATGACCTTATGCAATTGCGAGCGCCGTAAAACCCTCTACTATATATATATATATATATAAAAACCTGTACCACCTTTGCCACCTTCCTCTGGGCTCCTGACGGTTTCTGCAGCCTTTCTACTGCTACTCCTTGGCTCCTTCTTACTGCTGTCCTACAGCCACACCCCTGATCTTCTTGTAGGAAAGATCTACACCTAGCCTTCTCGGACAAGGGCGAAAGATCTCGGGGTGGTCCCGGGTGCAAGTTACGCACGTTAAAGATCCCTAGGTGGTCTAAAATCGGAGTAGGCTTCAGCCGCCACCTGAGCGAAATTAAAAATTTTCTTACTGTACTTTATCCGTCCTCTTGTACCTCGAGGGCGTCGAGAGGAGAAAGAGCTTCCTGGTGTCTCTAGCAAGTTTGATGGCCTGGCTGGGTGGGATATCATATGTTCTCAGGGTATCCTTCACACCCTGGATCCAGGTCTTTCTTGGTCTTCCTCTTGCCTTGTACCCTGATACTTTCCTGCAGTAGGCTTTACTGGCAAGCTGGTTAGGTGCCATTCGTGTGAGATGTCCAAACCAACTGATTGTTAACCCCCCGGGGCAGTGCCACTGACTGAAGTGTCTTTAGGCCATTCCCAAAGGGGGGACATATCTCGTTCAAGCATAGTAGAATTGTAAATGGGCTGATTCATGTCACGCTCATAACTGTGCCTGAACTACAACAGGGAACTGCTGCTTTTTTCTTTCCTGATCAGTTCCTTACTATTGTCATTTTCCTCTACTTCTTTTGTATGTTTGTCGCTCTCTTGTGACCTGCTATTTTGGGGTGCCTTGATAGTCGAAGCAGACCTTGTGCTGTTGAAGCTAGAGAAGTGAGCAGTCTGATTCCCTGTAAAGACTTCACTGTTGACACCCACCCCTTGGCGCTCATATGACTTTATGCAATTGCGAGGTGGTTATCTTACGTTCCAGAATTTTGGTCAGGGTCCTAGCATTTCCTTCCAACTGAAAATGTTAAATGCGTCCCGCGCGCTCTTATGACTTTATGCAGTTGCGAATGCCGTAAAACACTTACCAAAAAAAAACAACCCCTCTAATCTTCGGCACTCCTATGACTTTAATGTGTTGCAAGTGCCGTAAAAAAAACTCTTACTAAAACTTAAAAGGAGCCTGTGTACTTTAATTGGAGTTGAGCGCTATATAAATGTCATTTATTATTATTATTACCGTGCCCCCATTTCTTTCACCACAGGGGTGGGACTGCCCAGCCTGGCCGATTACTGTGGGCTGCCAGGGGGAAACATAAACTTTGACAACATGAACTTAGCTCACAGTACCATGTCACTAACATTCTGTCCCCCCGGAGCAGTGCCACTGACTGAAGTGTCTTTAGGCCAATCCCAAAGGGGGGACATATCTCGTTCAAGCATAGTAGAATTGTAAATGGGCTGACTCATATCACGCTCATAACTGTGCCTGATCTACAACAGGGAACTGCTGCTTTTTTCTTTCCGGATCCTTACTGTTGTCATTTTCCTCTACTTCTTTTGTATGTTTGTCACTCTATTGTGACCTGCTATTTTGGGGTGCCTTGATAGTCGAAGCAAACCTTGTGCTGTTGAAGCTAGAGAGGTGAGCAGTCTAAGCCCGATTCCCTGTGAAGACTTCTCTGTTGACACCCACCCCTTGGCGCTCCTATACGACCTTATGCAGTTGCGAGCGCCGTAAAACCCTCTACTATTAAAAATTATTAGACTTGAACTTAGCTCACAGTACCATGTCACTACTAACATCTTGACCCCCTACTGTACCTTCACAGGGGAGGGACTGCCCAGCCTGGCCGAGTACTGCGGGCTGCCAGGGGGGGACAAGAACGTGACCTCCGCCACCAGCCAGTTCGTGGACGTGTTTGTCGAGCTCTCTCTGCCTGACCAGCTGCGCGAACCCCTGACTTTCAAGCTGGTCTTCAGCACGACGCCCACTGACAGTGAGTACTTTGTGGGTGTTTTTTGCCTCCCTCTTTTGGATTTTTTTGGGGGGGGGGTTTTGGAAGGGGGAGGGGGGGCTGTTTAGTTTTGTTCGTTTTGTTTTTTGTTTATTTGTTGTTGTTTTTTTTGTTGTTGGGTTTTTTTTCAATGCATGCACACACACGCACACACATACACATGCACACTCGCGTGCGTAGACACACACACACACACATACACATGCACAGTTGCGTGCGTAGACACACACACATACACATGCACACGTGTGTGCACAGACACACACTCATATACACGCTTAAATCCACATCCTTTTTTCCTGCTCACATCAATATAATGATAATTAAATAACATTTGTGCATGACACGGTGGGATCAGGTGCTCGTCTATTTTTGGGCATGTGGAGTTATTGGTATCTCTTAAAGCTTGATCCGTTGTCATGTTATCAGTGAAAAAAAAAAATGCCCATCTGTCTTGAACAGAAGTCAAGATATTTGAGATTGAAGACAGTGGTGGGTGGTTGGCGGGTGCTCTGGTGTGGTTTGCTCCTTCTTTCCTATCAAACATCTATTTATCTCCCCTTCTTTTTTGTGTTTGTTACTCTCTTGTAACACGTCTAATCTTGTGGCGCTCATATGACCTTTTGCAGTTGCGAACGCCGTAAACCGCTACTAAAACTAAACTAAAACGTCTATCGTCCTGATGTCTCCTTCTATTTTATGTTTGTTACTCTCGTGTAACACCTCTTGGGCACTTATATGACGTTATTGTGTTGCAAGTGCCGTAAAACTCTTACTAAAACTAAGACGTCTAAGAAGAAGGTGGGGTCACCTGGTTTCAAAGGTAGAATTAGCGAGACAATGGCCGACACAGTTTGGTTATTTCCATAGCTTGGTAATCAGTGGAAACTGAAAACTTACATTTTTTGTGTGCCTTTAATCTACGTTTCTCAGTAAAACCCACCCAAAAATGTGTTCCTAATTGGACAACAATGGTGTTAAGCCGAAAGACAAAACTTCAATAAAAATTGCCGAAATGGCAAAAAAATGCTAGTTTCTTCAATTTCATTATTTTGACACACGCTTGATTTTACCACCCTGCCTCACATAACGCTTATTCCCTGTTCAATGTTTAATGTGTCCTGCACACTCATGACTCATATGACCTTATGTTGTTGCGAGGGCCACAACACACTTACCAAAACAGAGCAAAAAGTCAAAACTTCATAAGCTGTAGATAAATTTTGCTCACACTGGTATTCTACACTATCACGTACTATCTTAGTAAAAATAAGTAGACTAGATGTAACATTGTTGAATAATAATTGCAAAATGAGAAATGACTCATTTCTTATTGTAAGGAAATACAGGAACCTAACTTCTTTTTCAAAAAACAGCGCAAGAAACACTTATTAGGTTATCTATATATAGTGCGGACAAAAATTTGTTGCACAACTCTCCTCAAATATCTATTTAACTGGTGAATCAATGTTGCCCATACTTTGCACGGCTGTATGTATCAATTTGTCTTAGCGTAGTCATACTTTTCCCCAACAATTGAGGCAAGATAAAAAAAACAACAACTATTCTTCATAAATTTGTATAGAATACTATAAATCTCCGTCACGTGGAAAATGGGATTGCTCAGAGCACTTCCCGCTTCTCACACACATTTTGCATACATATGTGGCCTATGTCACAGCTCACCAATGACACTTTGTAGTGGCAAAACATGCTACAAGAAATTCATCTGTTTAAGTGAACACTTCTTTGCACCAACGGTTCTCAAAACATGGGTTTTAATGAGCATAATGTCGTGATTAGAAAAAAAAACGGGCAGACTTTCTTTTAAAAGTGATATTGTCACAGCTATAAATCTTTTAAAATCTGTAGAAACTCCCCACCGGGATTTTCAATCAGTAGCCAAGTTATGAAAGAATTTTCTAGAATACAGTTAACTGGTTTTCACAAAAATATGGATCTGTTAAGATAAATAATTTATACAAGTCATTGCACAGAAGATGGAGACTTAATGTTCGACAGCTGAGGAAGTATTTGACAATAAGTTGCGCCACGTTTTTTTTTTCAATATTTTTTAAACTGCACTATAGATCTAGCCCAGGGGGTTCTCGTGGCTTGAGGTTAAGGTGTTCGCCTAGCATTCAAAAGGTCCGGGGTTCGTATCCGGGTAGAGTAGAAAAAAATTTTCGTCTCTAAAATTGTCTCCTTTCACCTCTTTCCCTGCTCTCTAACAATGTTCTTTCGTCTGCTTTCGCTTTCGCTTTCTGCCCCCACCCCCTCACTTCATTTGCCCTCTCCTCTGTGCTCCTGACTCTTTCTGCAGCCTTCTACTACTACTCCTTGGCTCCTTCTTACAGCTGTCTTTCAGTCACACCCCTGATCTTATGGCAGGAAAGATCTACACCAAGCCTTTCGACATGCACAAAAAAATTTGGAGGTCCCGTGTGCAAGTTGCGCATGTTATAGATCCCTGTGGTGGTCGAAAAACGATTAGAGTAGGCTTCGGCCGCCACCCGAGCAAAATTCAAAATTTCCTACCAACTGAAAATGTTGAATGTGTCCCGCGCACTCATATGACCTGATGCAGATGAGAGCGCTGTAAAACACTCACCAAAATATTTTTTTTTAAAAAGGTCTAGCCCATAAACGCTTACCTTGCCCAGTTAGGCAGGACGTCAGATCGACTAACTTGTGCGCAGAAAAGGATCCTTTGCCCCCTCATCTAGGCTCCTGACTCTTTCTGCTGCTACGCCTTGGCTCTTTCTTACTACTGTCTTTCTGCCACGACCCTGATTTTATGGTAGGTAAAATCTAACACCTAGCCTTATCGGACAAGGGGGAAAAATCTCGGAGGTCTTGTGTGCAAGTTGTGCATATTAAAGATCCCTTGGTGGTCTAAAAATCGATAAGAGTAAGCGTAAGCTTGGGCAGCCACCTGCGCAAAAGTCAAAATTTCCTACGAACTGAAAATGTTTGGTGTGTCCCGCACGCTCATATGACCTTATGCAGTTATGAGTGCTGTAAAACACACAATTTTTTAAAAAATAAGTCTGTCAGGACGCGATGGCATCATATGGAATGATTGGCATCACATTAAAGCTTTTTCATTTGTCTTGCTTTCAAAGAAGAAATAAAATAAAATACCAACCTTATCTTGAATAGAAGTCCACATATTTGAGATTGAAGGGGGTGGTGTGGCCTCTTTTTTAGAGGTAAAGTTAGCGACAGAATAGCCGCCAAAGTCTGGTGACTTCCAAAGTCTGGTGGCTTCCAAAGCTTGAGAGTCCTTGAAAACGGAAAATTTGCATCTTTTCTACCTTTGTTCACCGTGTTTCAGTACAATCCACACTTCAATGTGTTTTTGAATGAACATAAAAGATATTATATGAAAAAAAAAAAAAAGAAAATTTTGTTAAAAAATGCTCAATGCCCTGAAAAATATTATTTCACCAAGCTGCCTCACATATTATTTTCTCTTTCCAACTGTTCATGACTCTGTTTTCTCTTCTTTCTTTCCACACTGCGCAGAGAAGTACCTGTTTACACCATTTAAAAAACATTTTTTTTTTAAATTAAATTTTTTTTTTTTCATATTTGAGATTGAAGGGGGTGGTGTGGCCTCTTTTTTAGAGGTAAAGTTAGCGACAGAATAGCTGCCAAAGTTTGGTGGCTTCCAAAGCTTGAGGGTCTTGAAAACGGAAAATTTGCATTTATTCTACCTTTGTTCACCGTGTTTCAGTACAATCCACACTTCAATGTGTTTTTGAATGAACATGAAAGATATTGTGAAAAGAAAAAAAAAAGAAATTTTTTAAAAATTTGCTCAACGCCCTGAAAAATGCTGGTTTCCTTGATTCCATTATTTTGACGAGCACCTGATTTCACCACGCTGACTCACATATTATTTTCTCTTTCCATCTGTTCATGACTGTATTTTGTCTTCTTTCTTTCCACGCTGTGCAGAGATGCTTGTGTTTACACCAATTTTGTTTGGGTTTTTTCATACAAAAAACCCCCTAAAAAACCATAATGCTGCCTCAACATATTTTCTCTTTTCAACTGTTCATGGCTGTATTTCTTTCTTTCTTTCCACACTGTGCAGCGTAAAAAATTTTTTTCTAAATTTAAAAAAAAAAAAATTTTTTCATACAAAAAACCCCCCACCATGCTACCTCAAAAATTTTCTCTTTTCAACTGTTCCTGGATTTTGTATTTCTTTCTTTCTTTCCGCTCTGCACAGAGAAGTACCTGTTTACACCATAAAAAAAAAAAAATTTTATACAAAAAAGCCCACCCCCCCAAAAAAAAACACCACGCTGCCTCACATATTATTTTCTCTTTCCAACTGTTCATGACTGTATTTCTTTCTTTCTTTCTTTTCACGCACTTGTTTACACCATTTAAAAATGTATTTAAATTAACCCTTCCAGCCCCAGCCATTTTTGTGCACTTCCTTACCCCAGTCCCAGCCAACACAGCGGTATTTCAGAGAAACTGGCATGCATTCTAAAAAAAGTGATCTAGTATCTTTGTAATGAGGTTTAGGTAATAACATAAAACAGTGTTCAAAGGTAAATGAACGAATATTATGAAAATTACAGTTTAATTAGGTTCGCTAATTTAGAAAAATGCGCAGAATTGGTACCTCCCGAAACTGAGACTATACGCTCTTGGGATGGTGGGAGGTACAAGCTCTGCTGAAAATATACGCGCTTGGGGCTGGAAGGGTTAAGAATTTTTTTTTCTTACAAAAAACCCAAAAAAAAACCCCACCATGCTGCCTCAACATATTTTCTCTTTCCAACTGTTCATGGCTTTTGTATTTTCCTCTTCTTTCTTTCCCTGCTGCTCAGAGAAGTACCTGTTTCCCGAGGACGACCCTGTAGACACCATGCTCATCATCAAAGCTGTGGGGATCTCGCTGGGCATTCTCTTCATCATCGGAGGGGGTATCTACTACTGCTGCTGCAAGCGCAAGAAGTCGGGGAGCGAGAATGTTGTTGATGATGGGGTCAACTCACCTGAAAGGTTTGTTGTTTTGTTATTTTTAAAATGTTCTCTCGAAAGTTTTTAGGGGATTTTTTTTTTTTGGGGGGGGGGGGTGGTGGTTGTTTGAGTTGGGTTGTTTTTTTTTCTTTGCAAGGGCGAAAATTCAGGGAGCAGTGATGATGATGGGGTCGACTCACCTGAAAGGTTTGTTGCTGTTTTTTAAAATTCTCTCTTGAAAATTTTAAGGGGATTTAAAAAAAAAAAAAAAATTTTTTTTTGGGGGGGGGGGTTGTTTGGTTGGGTTTTTTTTTTTCTTTGCAAGGGCAAGAATTCAGGGAGCAATGATGATGATGGGGTCAACTCTTTTTTTTATCTATTTACTAAATTTTTTTGGGTTATTTGATTTTTGTAAGTAAGAGTCTTCTGGCACTCTCTTCAAGTTTTTAAGAGAATTTCTTTGGAGGTGTTATTTTGTTTTGTGTAAGTAAGTGTTTTACAGCAATTGCAACACAAATAGGTTGCAAATGATTGTGTGTGGCTCTGAGAAAACCCTTCACAAGGTGCAAAATTTCAAAATGAACTTTTTTGCATATTTTAAAAGACACATCTTTTCCGAGCATTTTGCACTTTATTTGAAAGCAATTGGAGCATTCTGTGAAAAGTTATGGCATTTTAAAGCGAACAGGGGTTCGAGTGTCAAATTTTGAGAAAACAAGTTTTAAAGTTTTGCTTACTTTGGGAACACATTTTCCATGATGACAATGCATAGAAGCAAATAATGCTGATACCACAGCATAGAGGTGCCATTTGTGGACAGTTTGCTTTTTATTTTAGTGAAATACCTCTCTTCTATGTGAAGTTATGACTGTTTTTATGTTACAACAGTAAATCATTGAATTACGTAAAAAGGCATCAAAAAAATATTATGCTCCTCTCGTGTCATACCAGCAAAAGACTAATGCAGGTCGTCAAAAGCAGTTGATTCGAACTGGCTGTTGCAAGGCAGGCCATCATTGAGCTTGCAGAAGCACTTCAGGCCCTTCAACTTCGCAAAACTGTCTGCTCCACACCCTTACCTTCTGGCACCACAAAGGCTGTCACTGTCCCGTTCTCTATGAAGGTGACCCCTAAGGCATCATCCTCGTCTGTAGATACAGAAATTAAAAGAGAGCGATTTAAAGGTGTGCAGCTTGCATAATGAAATTTATAGTGTTGTACACCACTGTATTTAAATGACCACTATTAGTTAAAACAAACCAGTGATTAATGATCACCAATTGAGAATAATTTGCTCCGTGATCCCTTAACAGTTGACAGGTTGCAACAAGAAACCAGAATTTTTGTCCATCATTCTGTCACCTCTTGTTTTCGTTTTGCATCGCTGTATTTTTATATGGACCTACTCATTTTAAGAAATTCACTTTCATGTGACGACAAGTTTGTGACAGATCATCACTGCGATAGTGCAGCATCTCTCTTTTCTTGGTTCCTTTCAAGTCAAATAATTAAAGAGTATGTATTCAGAATAGATATTAGCTTTTGCCAAAAGGTGGGGGTGTTTGCATGAGGACTTTTTAAATCAACCACTACTCGTGGTAAAATATGTTTTCTTCTGAAAACTTTATGCATATATGGCAAGGAAATAAGTTGGTCAAGCTGCATGAGCAAGTAGATTAATGTGTGCATCTTATATCTCTTCATAGAAAGATAATAGTACAAAAAATAGGGCATTTTTTACTCATCCTGAGTGCACACGTAATTGTATGTTAAATACAGAATATTGTTAATCTTAAACTATCAAACAGTAGAGCATTCAAACATTGAAAATAGCTTTTATACACCATCATAGCAGCGTGTGTCCATTAAAAGGGTTTTATGTTTTTATATTAATGATGTTATTGCTGAGTAAAATTTATAAGTTCGTTCATAACTCGTGTCATAATAACATCATCAGACTTTCCAAGGTCTAGAAAACCCTAATTGTTAAACATATCATCCCGGGGAATGACCGGTATTAAACATTGGTTTGACATTGATCCATCAGAAGCGTAATTTTCCGCTCCATCGCATGGTTTTGCTTAAATATGTCTTTGATTGAGATAATCCAGGTTTGTCATAATGATATTATGAACAAACACTTTATGATATTTCTGCAAAATATCATGTGAGGGACTTCCCACTGTTTCACAACATCCTTTTACATGGTGGAATGAACATGGAAGAGTAGCGTGCTGATGACTCAAAAGAGAAGCGAAGAAGAGGCAAAAGTATGCTTGTCATAATGGATTGTCATCATGTTATGAACGTGACATTGTGTCGTAATGGTTTTGAACGAAACCTTATTCCATGTAATTTACAGTTGTTTTGGGATGTATTTTTAATTTTAACCCAACTTGAGGATGTATTAGACCTTGCTTACATTCTGATATTTTGATTTTTATCATAAGTGTATGGGTATGTATTTTAATCAGTATTTTCTTTTGTAGTAATTGTTATGAACGAACTACATATTGTACTCTGAGGGCTTTCCAGAGTTGATAAACATTAAAAACATGTACACAGATACATATTATGAGGAAACTTTCATTTAATATAAAATTTTTAAGTAAATGACAGGTCAAAATATTAATTTTTAGGTCAAAACTGAAGTTTGTCATAATAGTTTCCGATGACAACCCACCATCGGCACGATGATGGATACCGACTTACCATCGGTTTCCGATGACAACCCACCATCGGCGCGATGATGGATACCGACTTACCATCGGTTTCCGATGACAACCCACCATCGGCGCGATGATGGATATTGACACACCATCGGAAACCGACGACAACCCACCATCAAGACGATGTCGGGTTCCCACACACTATCGGAAACCAATGATCGCCCAACATCAGAACGATGTCGGATAAATGTGTCTTTCCGATGGTCAGCCGATAGCACCGCTGTAACACCATAGCCTTTACTTTGTCCATGCTCCCATCCCTATTTTATCTTAGTCGTTTGATCCTAAAAATAATTCGCTCAATCAAAAGTTGAATCCATGTCTCTAATTCCAGATGTTCTTATAAAATCAACACCAAGGTGTATATATATATATTAGTACAATTTCCCAAACCTAAACCATGAGTCCATTAACAGTAAGACATGAGACTGCAGCGGTGGGTAAACAAGCTCAGCTGTGTGGGGGTTTAGTTTTGGTATAGAGGTTTTACAGCGCTCGCAACTGCATAAGGTCATATGAGCGCCAGAAATATGCTGAAGATTTAGAGACGAGAGTAACATACACAGACAACGAGGAGGAAAGATAAGGACGACAGTTGTGTGATAGGAAAGAAGGAGGGAACCATACCAGAGCACACAACAACCACCCATGGTTTATTTGTTTTTTTGTTTTAAATTTTTTAAAATTATTATTTATTAAGTAATGTTATTTATTATTTTTTTATTTTAAAATTATTTTTTATGCGAGGAAGCTGGCTAATTTTGTATAAATAGATTACTTGATTGTTTTGGTTTTTTTTCTCTTGTAAGCATATGAGATACAAGAGGAAAATGGTTCTCTTTTTTTTTTGGTAGAAGGTTTTACGGCGCTCGCAACTGCATAAGGTCAATGGTTCTCTGATGAGATTCAAAAGGGAAAAATGGTTCTCTGATGAGATACAGAAGGGAAAAATGGTTCTCTGATGAGATTCAAAAGGGAAAAATGGTTCTCTGATGGTTGACACTCAAGAACGACAAAAAGGACTGTGCCATGCGGCTCTTCTTCCTTCCCCAAGTGATCCTAGTTTGGTCCCCAATTTTTATTTTTTAAAAATATATACTTATATATATATAGATAAATGTATATTATGTGTTTTTACACACCTCCTGCGACACAATTTAGATGTTTTGGGAGGCTGGCTCTGGCCCTGCTTTTCTGGCAGAGAAGAATGCAGTATCCCAGCTGAACGACTGGGTGGTTGGTGGGTGCTCTGGTGTGGTTCGCTTCTTCTTTCTTATCGAACATCTATCATCCTTATCTCCCCCTTCTTCTTTTTTATGTTTGTTTCTCTCTTGTAACACCTCTAATCTTCTGTCGCTCATATGACCTTATGCAGTTGCGAACGTCGTAAAACCTCTACTGAAACAATAAGCTGAACGACTGAATTACTCAATTGTTTGATTCCTGAGTGGGAAGTGAAATTTTGTCTGGGTCTTCCTATTGGGATGTTGTATCCCTCTCTAAATAGCATTTTCTCTCAGCCCATGTCGGAAGCCGGCATCCTAAATGATCTAAATTGTATCGATGCGGAGTGTAAAATCAACAGCGTTTTACTGAAAAATCTCCTGTAATTTTTTCTCGATGAAATGTGATGGTAATCTTAACGGTGCACACTGATAGATGACTTCACAACTGTACAGTTTTCTCATTTTTCAGTCAATTTCAACTCTGCACTGTTTTTTTGTTGTTGTTTTTTGGGGTTTTTTTTTGGCTGATCAGGTTTGTGGTTTCCTGCTTTTCCCGCTGTAGATCTATCTTTCTAACTAATATTTGGGGAAGAGAGGAAAAAATAGCTGGCGTTTCATTCACCTCTTTGTTTTCCTTCCTCAGTGCTATGCCTTTGACCGACTCGGGTAAGAACGCCAGTGCCTGATGAGGAGAGGATTCATGTCGGGAGTTTGGGGACTTATGTTTGCACGGAAAACCACTTTGATGTGACCCTGGTGTGACCTCATTTCCACACAATTTGACCCCAGCGTCACCTCAAGATCGGAGGCTGCTTTGAGAGCCAGGAATTAATTATTATAGTTTGATAAATAGCCTTACTGACATAATACATTAACTAACCAGGTGCCCGCGATTTTTTAAAAATATTTTTTTTTGTGCAACTAAAACATGTTTGTACACTGATATTTTTAACAAAATGTCCTATGGGGTTTTTAATAATTTTTCACTTATGCACTGAATTTCTTTTTACCGTAAAAAAAAAATTTAGAAAAAAAAAAAATCCGGCAAATTTTTACATGTCAATGCTTAATTTTTCGCATTATTGTGTGTTGTATGTGACTTTCTATGTTCGGCTTGGCTTATTCACTGGAAATAATAACCGCTATTATATCGCCCCCACCGATTCTAAGTCAAACCATTAACTTCTTACCAATTACTGCCAGTTTACGCCAACGTCACATTTTTATCGCGAATCCCATCAACTGTGTTCTCTCCACGCCTAGTAGTTTTGACGGATGTCTTTCTCTGCGAGCCACGTATAGAAAATTCCAATTGGCTGTCCTCTAAGTGTGGGAAAACTTTCTCTACTTTCATTTTCTGTTTTGTTTTGTTGGGTAAAATGCAGCACAGAAGATGCCTTTATACTATGTCTTATATTGATTCCCGATATTTTTCCCAGTCTCGTATGTTATATATATATATATATAT